CCCACATGGCTGACCACAGTTTGAGTCCTGGACCTGGTGGCTTGCTTTCTCACTTTCTCTCTCTCTCTCTCTCTCTCTCTCTCTCTCTCTCTTTCTCTCTGTATCTCTCTGGTCAAATTTAAAAAATAAAAATGAATGAATGCATAAAAGTAAATAAAATATTAAAAAATTTTAAAAAATAAATGAATTAAAAAAAAGAAAAAAGAAAGAAAGCATCTTTAAAATGTGTGTCTATAATGGGCCAGCCCCATAGGGCAATGATTAAGCCACCTCCCACATGACCTACTGCAGTTGGAATCCCAGCCCCGTGGCTTGAAAAACATACTTGGCAAGTGCGCATGCCTGCCCCAAATCCTGATGGAGTGGAGAAATGGAGGGAAAGGGACCGTGGCATAACCATGCCCATTGGAGGGTGCTTCTTCTCTCCCTTCAACCCCCTCAAATGCATACATGCACGCACACTGGCAAAAGAGGAGTATTAAAAAAAAAAAAAAAAAGGAAGTAGGACTGGCAAGTTGCATAGTGGTTAGGGTGTTGGATTCCCACATGGCTAACCACAGTTCTAGTCCCAGACCAGAGGCTTAAAAATCACAATAAATAAAATAGACAAATAAATGTTTTAAAATGTATATCTGTGTTGAGTATACTGATTTTGTTTGTTTTTTTTTTTTCTAGAGGACTTGTGTATTTGCCACAGGGAGTCCCCCTCAGTCGGGCAGGGTCATGCCACAATCCTCTTTCCTTCATTTCATCATCCCCTCAGGATGTGGGGCATGCATGCAAAGCACCCTGGATGTTTTTCTAGTCACTGGGGCTTGATTTGAACTGCAGTTAGCCATGTGGGATGCAGCTCCTTATGCATAATACCTAACCACTGTGCTACTGGGCTGGCTCTATAATGCCATTTTTACAAAATTATTCTATTCAGGGGCCAGCAGTTTGCATAATGGCTAAGTTGCTGGACTCCCATGTAGTCAACTGTGGTTCGAGTCCTAGACCCAGTGACTTAAACTCACGCTGGGTGTGTGTGTTTATGTGCCCAAAATCCTGAAAGAAGAATGGAGGAGAAGGGATTGTGGCGTGGCCATCCCTCCGGCAGGGGTGATTTCTTGCTTTCTGTCTCTCTGTTTCTGTCTTTCTGGCAAGAACACGCACTCTATAGCAGAAAAAGCTCTTCAAAAAAAAATTATTCATCTATCAACCCTCTGTGGAATTTATGCATGGAGGTATATTTGTATTGATATTTACCAGTGCTAATTTAGAATCTCTGTTTGGTAAGATATTTGGAGAGTTTGGTTTTATTTATTTATTTATTTTGTTAGGTTTAATTTTTTTGTTTGTTTCTTTTTTGGTGGCCATCTTCATTGTAATTTGTTTATACATAATTAGTTAGACCGTAAGTTCTTCATCATACTTTTTTCAGACTATATAAATTTGCTTTACTTTACATAAGTAAAGGAGAATAGATTTTATATATAGTTTTCAGTGATTTCATTTTTTTTTTTTTAGAAGCACAGCACTAGGTTATTGCAAACTGATGTTTAAAAAGTAAAAATTCCCTGTGGTGGCACCAGGAAAACATCTTTAAGCATCCTTGGGCTTGTTCACTTTTTTATTCCATTGCAACCCACCTTCACTGAGCATTAAATCAATGTGCTGTTTTTATTTAACAGGGCTTACAGAGTCATTTGAAGAAGTTTGGTGGAAAATATGATCAAATTTTGGCTTTCCGACCTACAGGATGGACACACTCTAGCAAGTTATCTAGGATAACAGATGTTATTCCTCAGACCAGAGGAAACATTTCAATATACGGTATAATTATTAAAATTTCTCACTTTTAATGTTTATAATGACTTTGCATTTTTAAAGAGAGCTGTAAAATTAAGATCAAAGCAAAACAGGCACTAAGGAATTTAATAATGCAGGAGTTTCATGTCTCTGTACATACTCTATTAAACCCCTATCTAATAATTTATTGTAAACCGATATAAAGGAGCTTGACTAGTAGGTCCGCCTGGACTAAAACAGTTCATTTCATGTGTGTGATCAGTGATATTTAGAGGAAATTGTAGAATTACTTGAAAGGAAGAGCACTATGGTTACATACTGGAAGTCTACAGGACACTGTGAAATTAGGAGCAAGCAGACGATGGATTAATGTGTTGGCAGCAACAGATACAGACTTGACTTGAACTTTTTCATCCTTCAGAAGTTTACTATTTTTTTTTTCCAATTTATTTGCATTCATTCACTGTACATCATTACAGCATACACAATGAGATTTTCCAAACAGATACAGACTTGACTTGAACTTTTTCATCCTTCAGAGGTTTACTATTGCCCTCAGAATTGGCTTATTTACAGCGATGGCAGAAGGAGACATTGTTGGTGTGTCACAAGAGCAGTGGTTTACCTTGAGCCTCTAGAGACCCTTGTTTACTCAAAACAGAACCCTTCCTCCCTTACTCTGTGGTACTTGATTTTCAGTAAGGACTATAAAGGAATTTTTAGGTTTAAATTTTTTTTTCACTTTTTCAAATAATGTGCAGAGCTTGAGCATTGGAATCTACTTACCTGCTCTGGAAATCAAGGTTCTCCTGCTTCAGAGTTTACTCATAATTCTTCTAGATTTTTCTGAAACCCATTGCTAAGCCAAGATTTGTTTAAAAAGAAGAAGATCCTAATCAAATGTGACTCTCTAGAAATGTATGTTATTAAGCAGTTACATATAAAAGTAATAAAATTTATTAATGTTCTAAGATTTGTTCTATGTAATGATTTAATCTTTATTATCCATAAAATATATCCACAAGTATACCAAGAAGTTTTTCTGTCAGAACTAGAACACCAATGAATTTCTGACCAAAAAATACTCTGGATTGCTTTTCTCTTTTATTTTGGGCTTATTCATTTTTTTATATTAGTTTGATTTTTAGTAGAAAGTATCTTTATTGTTGCAGGAATTCCTTATAGTGAACACAGCAGCTACCTAGAAATGAAACGTTTTGTCCAGTGGCTGAAGCCTCAGAAAATCATACCCACTGTAAATGTTGGTACCTGGAAATCTCGACAAACGATGGAGAAATACTTTAAAGAGTGGAAACTGGAAGCTGGATATTGATGATACCTCAGAGAACTGAGAAGTAAAGTGTCTGAAGTGGAGCTTGCAGTTAAATCTCTAGTGATATGAAATACATTTTATGTGAAAAACCTCTGAAGAGCGCCCATATAGCTTATGTTTTCATTTAGGTTTGAATAGCCTGTTCATGGTGCAGCGCCTCTCGGCATTACTGGAGGTAACTGAGACTCCCTAGTACCCTTCATTTTTCCTCTCCCTCCCATGGAGGCTGTTAAGTTCTGCAGTAAGCCTTAGAAGAGGGAGCAATCACAGGTTCAGGGATCAAACGGATTCATGGTCATGGATAAACTAGATTGAAAGCATTTGTAATTATGTATCTTTAAAATCGTAAGATTTTTATACAATATGTATACTTAAATAAAAAGTTAAAATTTGCTATCGTGTCTTTTTTTTTCTTTTTAACAGACTTTTTTTTTTTTTTTTTTTTTTTTAAGAATAGTTTTAGATTCACAGCCAAACTGAATGGAAAGTGCAGACATTTCCCTTATACCTCCTGCCCCCCCAATACATATTCTCCTCCATTCTCAATATCCCTCACCAAAGTGGTTTATTAGTTGCAATTGATAAACCTCCACTGACACATCACAATGGCCCAAAGTTCTTATATTCAGTTTCATTCATGATGTATAGTCTGTGAATTTTGACAAGTGTACAATGACACATATCCATCATTGTGATAGCATACAAAATTATTGCTGCCCTAAAAATCTTCTGTGCCTTATTACTCATCTTTCCTTCTGCCATCATTGGTTGCTACTGATCTTTTCACTGTCTTCATAGTTTTGCCTTTTCTGGAATGTTAGTCATACGAGGGATGAAAAGGTACTTCATGTCATATATCATTAGGGAAATCCAAGTTAAGATAATACCGGGACCAGCAGTTAGCGAAATGGCTATGTCACTGGACTCCCACGTAGGACTAATTTAAATCAATTCTTTGTTCAGTTATTGCATTGTATTCCTATGGATCAAGTGCATCTAAAATTTTCTTATTCGGCCCTGAATAACCATGAATAATTAGACTAAGGAACTAAGAAGAGAATTATCTTCAGGCACTGATGTCCAAAATGATCTGATTTGAAAAAGTATTCGTGTTATCTTGTAACTTACCTGATTGTTTAATTTTTATTTATTCAGTTTATTTGATACTGATCTTAGATCCAATAAAGAAATTATTTGAAGTTAGCAAAAGCATAAGTTAATGGTCATGGATAATGGAAGAACTGTTTAGTTATGGAAAGCAGTTCTAATCTGAATACTTGGAAACTTTAAACTTGGTAATTATTTTAATATGCTTATTTTTTTTAATCTGTCCCTTTCCCTTAGTATTTACTCCTTCCTCCCAAAAGCAGATACAGAGGGGACTTCAAAAAGTTTGTGGAGCATGGTCCCTATGACATATGGTTAGGGAGCTGGATCCTACATGGTCAACTGGATGGTTGGCATGGTTGTCTTCATTGGCTTGAAAAACATGCCAGGTGCATGTGAATGCATGTCCCAAATCCCAACTTTAAAAATTTTTTAAAAATATATAAATAGATACACATTTATATATTGATACAGTCATGTGCTGCATAACATTTCAATCAACAATGGATCACATATTCAATTGCATATTTCAACAAAACTGAAAGACTACAGAAAAGTACAACAGAACTAAAAGTACCTGTCACCTGGTGACTTCCCAACCATTTTATTGTACAACAATGCATCACTGAGGTGTTCGTGGTGATGTTGGTGTAAACACACCAATCGAGCTGCCTGTTAGATAGAATTGCATAGCATATGCAGAGCCAACGCTGTAGCCTAGTGGTTTAGAGAGCCAGGTCCTAAAGGGCCAACAGCAGTCTGAATTCCAGCCCTGGCAGCTTGAAAAACACATCGGGTGCATGTATGTGTGTGCCCCAAACTCCAACATGATGGAGGGATGGAAGAGAAGGGATCATGGCATGATCACAACACCCCCGTGGGGATGTTCTCTCATTCTCTCCCTCTCTGTCTTTCCATGACATTCTGGCGAGTGCATATGCCTCTGGTAAAAAAAAAAAAAAAAAAAAATGAAAAAGGAAAAAAAATTAAAAACCGTGTAATAAATGGTAACGATAAATGACAATGTCACTAGTTTATGTGTTCATTCTATTTGTGTCGTTTTAGAGTGCAGTCCTTTTAAAATGTTTACTGCAAAACAGTGTGCTGTGTCACAGGGGCAGCAGCCTCACACCTCTCAGATTTACTGTATCACTTGACCACATCATTTTCTCATGTGCTTGATTTAGTCTTGTCTTGTTTTGATTAACATATTCTTCCAGTGGAACAAGATGTGGAGGTAGAAGATAGTGCTTTTGATGATCTTGAGCCTGTATGAGCTAGGGTGTTTATTTGTGACGCAGTTCTGTTTTGTTTTGCTAGAGGTCACACGTGCTGGCTGGAGAGAGAGCGCCTCCCATGGGGAATGGTCGTACTACAATCCCTCCTCCATTTCTCCTTTCAGGATTTTCGGCATACACGTACATGTGCCTGATGTGTTTTTCAAGCCTCTGGGTCTGGGACTTGAACCACATAGTAGGCCATGTGGGATTCAGCTACCTGAACTACCTGTGACTGGCTGGCCCTATGTCTTAGTTTTTCATGAAAAAGTTTAAATGTAAAAAACAAAAAAATTTAAAAGAATGAAAATATTTTTGTACACTATGCGTGTTTTAAGCTAAGAGCTATTAAAACAATTAAAAGTTTTAAAAATTAAGAATTTGATAAAGTAGAAAATTTAAAGTAAGCTAAGGCTAATTTATTAAAGATTGTTTTGAGAGATTTTTGCTGTGAGGCGTGTGTGCTTACCAGAGGGACCGAGAGACAGAACACAAACCACCCCTCAGGGGGAATGGCCACGCTATAATCTCTTCTCCTCTTAACATTTTGGGCATGCATGCACACGTGCCTGAGTGTGTCCCAAGCCACCGGGTCTGAGATCTGAACTGTGCTTGACTACATGGGAGTCCAGTGACATAACCACTACACCATCTGCTGGTCCCAAGAATTTTTATTTTTATAAAAATATTTTTTATAAAATAGTTTTTGTAGCCTAAATGTTGATGAAGCCTACTGTACTATACAGTAATGTCCTAGGCCTTCACATTCACTCACCACTCACCCATTGATTTCCAGCCTTATAAGCTTCATTCATGGTAAGAGCCCTAGACAGGTGTACCATTTTTTGTCTTTCATATTTTATTTTTACTTTAGCTTTTCTATGTTAGATACACAAATACATAACATCATGTTAAAATTTCCTATAGTATTCAGTACAGTAACTTGCTGTACAGGTTTTTAGCCTATGGATAATAGGCTATACCATACAGCCTAGGTATAGAGCAGGCTGCAGCATCCACGTTTGTATAAGTACATGCTGATTACATCATAATGCAGTCTTCAGAATATATCTTCATGTTAAGCAACATATGGCCACATATTAACACATACAGTATATACATTGTATCAATAGTTTGGGAGAAATGACCCAACTCTTAAACCTTGAGGAACATGTTATGGTTACAGGGTATCTTTGGGACATTGAAATTTAGGACAAGGTCCTTGCTTTGGATGAACTCATTTTCCATAGGGAGCTAGGTCAAAGCTATTATATTTAAAGTACCTAAGAGAAAAATTTGTGTGATTTCATATCTTGAGAAAGGTGAGATGGGGTAGGTTGAAACTGTATAAGCTAGTCAGTGAAATGAAGTACATATGAAGCTAATTTTGAAACATAAGACAATATGTAAACAATTTATGGGTGATCAGTTGGGTTGGTCTTTAAACAACTTGTTTAAGTCAAACTTGGTTTTATGTAAGTTCTACTCATGTTTTGGACTGAATTTTGTGAGTTTAAATGCTGGTGGAACTATAGTATTTTACATAGAGTCTTAAAAACAACTTGGGACCAGCAGATGGTATAATGGTTACATTGCTGGACTCCCACATAGTCAACTGTGGTTCAAGTCTTGGACACAGTGGCTTAAAACACACTGGACATGTGCATGTGTGCCCAAGATCCCAAGAAGAGAATGGAGCAGCAGAAGGGATTGTAGCATGGCCATCCCTCCTGGGGGGGGTTGGTGGTGGTGGTAATTTTTCACTTTGTTTCTCTGTCTCTCTGTGTTTCTCTGGTGAGTGCACAAGCCCTATAGCAAAAATCTCTCTCTCTTAAAAAAAAAAAAAAGAAACAATAAAAGAAATAAAAACAACTCAGAATACGATTTGCTTTGTCCCAAAGATGATAGACTTTATAGAGAAGACAAAACAAAACGACTTTTAGTAAAGGCAAGTTCTGTTATCTGTACACGCCCTTCTGCTATTTCAAAATG